AAACTGATATTTTGCACCACCTCCGAGAGCAACTGGAAAACAAGAAAATGATGTACTCCAAGGATCAAATCCAGCTGTCTACTACAATAGGACAAGGTAAAAATTCTGTATGTTTGCACTTAATAAGGTTTTGAAGTCGTTTCAGGAGAGTCTGGGCTCGTGTACAAGGGATACATCAAAACTACAGTTGGAAATGAAATAGTTTGCAATTAAAAACAGGAAAAGGTATGAACAATAATAGCCATGACCAACACATGAGGTGTTTTTTCTGCAGCATTTTTTTCTTCTGGTGACTGAAAACTCTTGCTAAGGAGTGTCTACCATGTTGTCTTTCAGGCACATAAACATTATGTCTCTTATTGGAGTGTGTATTGATGGAGAGATGCTCCTGCTTATCATGCCATTTATGTCCAATGGAAGTGTGTTGGAGTATGTTAGGAAACACAAAGACAGGCTCTTTATCACTGGCGAGCTCCTAAGAGTGGAGGTTAGACGTATTAACCATGTGGATAAACATGTCACTTTTGTCTACATTGCAGTTACAACCAGCATCTGCTGCACTTCTTCGGATATGTCTCCACATTGCACAAGGAATGGAGTATCTTTCTAGAAACAAGTTTGTTCATCGTGACTTGGCAGCAAGAAACTGCATGTACGATGTTTGTAATTATTGCTAGCTAGTAATGGACAGTTTGATGCACAGGATTGACGGGGAAGGAGTAATCAAAGTGGCTGATTTTGGACTCACAGAGGACATGTATTGCACTAACTACTTCCGTCGAAGGAAGAGTGAGACTGGACACGAGGAGAAGGTCCCCGTACGGTGGATGGCCCCCGAGAGTATTGAAGACTCTGTCTATACACAGGCTACTGATGTAGTGAGTTATGAAACCTTGAGTGATGGCGTTCAAGGAGTGCATGCCCAATAATGCACTGTAATTTTGAAAAGACAAGATGATATCAAATTTTTGTATGAGGTTTGCGTGCATTCGTTCGAAAGACACGTGGTGCTTCTATATAGTCGTAATGTCCCATTCATGACAGAAGGCTATACAGACTGGTGGTATGAATGTTACCATGTCAAGTGCTTACATAAGTGTGCAACTGAAAAATGGTTGCAAACTTTATACACTGACAGTTTAAAAAATCAGAGAATACTTGATTATAATTTCTTGTTCAGTGACACCTGTCTTTATTCAGTGGTCCTATGGAGTGACAATGTGGGAGATTTTCACTTGTGGGAGGGTCCCATACGCTGGAATACATGCCATGGGTCTCTTGAAGCAGCTAAAGAGAGGAGAGAGACTGGAGAAACCTGACAACAAGGCCTGCCATGATGACATGTTAGTTTTGAACGATACAGCAGTCCTAATAGTAACATTTTGCTTTTCTGGCATCATCAAGTATCCTTTACCTACCTCAGATATGACGTGATGTTCTCATGCTGGAAACTGGAAGCTGGTGGACGCCCAAAGTTCTCTGATTTGGTTGTCACAGTGAATGACCTCCTGGAAAGAGATGCTGGCTACCTGGAGCTCTCTCGGTTCCCAACTCTTACAGTGGCTACTACAACACCCCCACCTCCATCTCCTGCTGATCATCCTCTGGCAGAGTTGGCAGTTTCTGAACCAGACATGGACAATGACTTACGAGTGTAAAGTAATTGCACTGACTGTCGGTTTGATAGACTCAGTTGACTTACAGTTTAGCTAATTATTAAACCCTGTAGTTCCCATGGCATAGGGGTGTATATACTACAATGAAAAGCACCATTGTAAAGTGCAAACCCTCTGGCGAACTGCGCAAGCGCGGTACCGCTAATTGATGGGCTGGGTTAGTATATCGTTTACTCGCTCGCGGAGAGTCTGACACGATAGCTACAGTCTTCCCAGGTATATATATAATACACTATTGATAACTGACTAGTGTAGGAAACATCCCATTCGTAGTGGTACCACAAAAGCGCACACGCAAACACGTTTTGTCCGTAGCAGCTTCCGAACTCCTGCGTCTGCAGAGAAGCATATCTAGACATTCAAAACCAGGTAGCTACTGGGGCAGTTAGAAGAAGACAAATTTTCAAGACAGTTATTCGTTGCGATTGTCAGTGCTCAGATGGAAGGTAATGATTTTCAAGGATTTGCATACTTGTCTAACTGTCATTATTCGCGACCGTGCCAGTTTGTCGCTCTCGAACGCAGTTGTTTCAAGAAAATCGCCTTTTTATTTTTCAGGCTCGCGTAGTTCTGAAGCCGCTGGTATCGCTAATGGGCCGCCTCGTAGCCTGTAGTGCCAGAATAAGCGTCGACACACACACAGACAGACAGACAGACAGACAAACCGTAACCCACGTTGCGCATGCGCGCCGAGGGTTAATGACTGAAGTGCGGCGAACTGCGCGTGAGCGCTGGGCCATTGGCGTTTACCCGCGCTAGTAGCTCGCGGAGAAGGGTTAGCTACGGTAGTAGATAGCATGCGGGAGTCGATACACGCCCTTCGCTGTGGCTTCTTGTGCCTCGAAGGTACACAGAGCAAGCGGATCAGGTCGAGGTGGAGCCAGCATACCGCGTCTATACCTACGCATGCGCACCGCTTAATGATAGGTTGGGCCACGGAACTCGGTCGGCGACCGTGCCAGTTTGTCGCTCTCGAACGCAGTCGTTTCAGGAAAATCGCCCTTTCATTTTTCAGGCTCGCGTAGCACTGAAGCGTTTGGTATCGCTCTTAGGCCGCCTCGTAGCCTGTAGCGCGAGAATAGTCGCGCACACACACAGACCACCATGTACCAACTACAGTAACCCTCGCTGCGCATGCGCGCCGAGGATAACTGCAGTCAGACTGACCTTGCGCGCGCCACGGTAGTACACGATGAAGGTTGCCGGGTGTTTCTGGATCTCCGAGTTGAACCAACCAATCAGATCGCTCGGTGTCCCTCCATCGTCTGTGAAGACATTCAGTCATAGAAGGAGGGGGAGAGGGAGAGATGGACGGAGATGGACGGAGATGGATCTAAAATCAGCACCATTTTTCGGGTAAATGGCTAAGCTAGGTGAAACGCACGAAATTTAAAACTTGCTGCGGCCTCTGGTGCAGTGACGCCCCCCCTCGGTTACCGTCGTGTTCTCGCCATGCTCTCTTCACAAGACTGACCCATCTTCCTGGGTGTTTGCACTTCCACTATCAGCCACGCCCACACGAGCTATCTACTACTGCGCATGCGCTAACAACCTCCCTTCACACATAAAAATTGATTTCTCAGTGTACGACTGAATAAATTGCATTGTCAGACAGTTGTAAGGAAATACTCGCATATGCTTCGTTCTCTTTCAGATTCACGTTTTGATCTGTAGCAGGCTTCATAGCAGCAACTTTTCTGCGCCTGAAAAAAGATGAAAAGTCATAATTCTGTGTTCATTGTATAACTCTGGAATTTTATCCCATGGAGACAAAACACAAGTCACAATAACATAATGAAAAGTACTTAGGTGTATTGCGAGGTACTGGACTCAATTTATGCACACTTAAATGCAGAATACCTGGTGTGCAGAATGAAGGCAATAAACAGAGTTCCAAGAAGCAGCAGAAGTAGAAACAGAACTGCAACTGCTATACCAAATCCAACCACAACCCCCTGAGCTCCCTGCTGACTGTTGCCACTGTCATCAGTAGATGAGTATACTGGATGTGCAGAAGAGGGTGTGTGGTAGGGGGTGCTGGAAATATGTGGATGAGTGACAGAGACAGAGAGGCCTTGGTTTAAGCAGAGCCACAGTCACTAGCAGCGACAATGCTCCGCCACCAACACTTGTCACAGCCTGCACCTGGTACATTAACAGAGAGAGAGAGAGAGTGTGTCAACAATAGCAGCTTTGGGAATACCGTAGCCTATGAAATATAATTCTGCAGGCAAGTTTTGAATCAATGTCCATGCAACTATAATTATAGTTACATCCAGTAATGAATAATGTTCCAAGTTTTTTTATTACATCTGTAAGACATGACTAGTCATGAAGTACTTCTCTCAAACCTCAATGTTAAAGGTTCCACCAACATCTCCGCAACATTGATACAGGTCGATACTTGTATCATTCAACTCGTCTATTCTGGCTACCAGTTCCCCAACATGGGGTGACGACGATATGATGACATTGTAGTAGAGAATGACTCCATTGGGAGGAACTGGAGGAGACCAGCTCAGCACTCCATCCTCTCCCACCACAAACTCCGTCACTGTCCCTCCAACTGCAGTGGTGGTTTTTAGCTCATACACAATGTGCTGATTTTCAAGGATTTGCATACTCATTATACCTTGTACCCTTCTTTGTTAATTTGACTTTGAAAACCGGCTGCTAGCTCAATACGTACGAAACAAAGTTGCCAAACAAAACTGAATTCTAAAAAAACTTTATTAAAGGCAGGGCAACTTGTTAGCATGTTTGAAACTGAAACAGGTTTGACTATGTATAAGGACCTTAATACACAGCTGAAAACAAGCACACGTTTCCCCAAAAGACGTGTGTTCTCCTGTGGGTTTTTTAAAAACAAGGATGTTTTCTACCAACCTCCCTCCTCAGTAGTGGCAGTGGTACTGAGAGTTCTGGCACTGATATCGTTGTCCTGAGAGGAGACATGATTCTCGGCAGATACAGAGAATGTGTAGAAGACACCAGGAGTCAGTCCAGTCACAATGGTCTCTGTATCATTCACCTCTGATAGCACAACTGTCACTCCTTCACTGCTGTTGGAATCTGAATGACATTCACACAATGTTTGCATTTTAGAGAGATCACTTAAGTCCCAGTAGGGATTAGTTTAGTCGTCAGTGCATCTACTCACCCATGGCAGTAATGGTGTACAGAATCTCATAGAGAGGTCTCCCTCCACTATCATCAGGAGAAGACCAGGAGAGGACGGCCGATGTGTTAGTCACATTTGACACTCTCAGATCAGACGGAGGTCCTGGAGACTCTGTGTGATTCATGCGGTTTAAACATAAACCTTTTCAAAACAAGTGCAGTGAGGACTCACGTGTACAGGGGACGGACGGCCCCTCATAAGGAGCTCTGTGGTAGTCCTGGAGACATGGACAGAGGCTCAGAGCAGTTCCAGTCCCCTCACTGTTAGCTGGACATGTCTCACATGGTCCATTGCCCAGTTCTGATGAGAAGGTTCCCTCTGGGCATTCTTAAAAAAAGATATTGAAAATTAATGTATATATCTCACAACAGTGTAATAATCACTTGCACTAATGGAGAATGCCGATTCCTACCTGAGCACATATCTTGACTGGTGTCCAGCTGATATCCAGGATTACAGAGACAAGGTTTAATCACCTGCCACTGTCCCCTAGCACCACATATGAGAATAGGATTAGCCCCAGACTCTGTGGAACTGTTCTCTACACACTCTCCCTCCACTGAAGGTGAGCCTTCCAGAGACTGGGATTCAATTGCCTCAGGTCTGGAGATGAGTTCTGATGTCTCCTCTGGACACACATAGTAGAGAATTAGAATTCTTGTGAGAGTAACACAAGTGCTCAAGTCAACAACTCCCAAGTAAAAACCATCTGTGGTACCCAATTCAATATCATGAGAGTCAACAAAGGACATTACTCCAGTAACATCAGGAGAGACTCGACCAACTCTGACATAATTGTCAGTGTCAGTTGCTGCAGTTCTGTTAATGGTGGAGGTCTCCCATTTGTATAGTTCAAAACTCTGCCTGCACTGTCTACTGATATCACATCCATTGAGAGTTCCATTAAACACGACAGTCACTTTCCTCAATCTCTCTCCTCCTCCTCCTGGTAGCACTGTGTTGATGTGCTGTGTGATGAGCCAGTTCTCTTGAGCTCCCCTCACTGAATCCACACACTGTCACTGTCCCAGCACATGTGGCTAGCCCAGTTTGAACCCACTGGAGAGCAATTCAATATACTACTATAATATGTGAGTAGCTAAATATTATTGTTACCTCAGTTATAATATCGTTTGTATTGTTGTTGTCCCTATCAACGCTTTGCCATGGTACATACGCGTCGCCACTTTCCTGAAGCAGGCGGTTATAGTCTCTGGAGTCCATGAGAGGTCGCTCATTAGCAGAATACACTGGACGGATGGCAAAGAACGGGTTCGGCGCTCCATTAATGATCTCATCAGTACATATGTCTACACCATCCCCTGGAGCTTGATCCTGCACACAGCTCACTTGTCCGACCAACACCAGCACAAGCCACGAGACTACTGAACTCGTTGCAACTAGTGGACGAGACATTATCTGCGAATAACGCCCGAGCTGCGATGTCGTAAACGCACCGACTTTCCGACGATTTGCGCATGCGCAATAACGAAGCGCAGCCGCCGCACAACCCGAGACTGCCGCGAGAGAACCGTAATAATACTGCACCTCGACAGAAGGAAATTGGTATGTTTCTCGTCTAAAAACCTTTCTTTGGACATGTAATCTATAAACGTTTCCGTGGACAAATGCTAGAACCTAAAAACCTTTCTTGAGACATCCTTGAAAACACAAGAAAACTTCTTCTCTCTCTCTAAAACAATTGAGTCCAGTTCGAGAGTTAACTCAGTTTCTTTTGGAGGTAGAGAGGGCCGACGTTAAGACGATCGTCAGAGTTACACTGCTGCTCGAACTGCAGACTCACTTCTCTCATCACCTTACTGGCAATGATCTGGAAAGGTTCGTCTTTCTCATCCCACAGCGCCTTGGCCAGTTTCGGCATCCACAGACTCCCCGCTTCGCCACCCCACGAGACGTGGTGGGGGACGGTGGCATAGGCAATGTAGTAGTTTCCCTCTATGCGTCGAGGGAGCTTTTTCACGAAGCCCATGTTGGCGCTGGGAACACTTTTAGTCTGTGCTGCGGCACCACCACCTCCAACTCCTTTCTCAGAGAGTGTCTGAGCTCCACGACATGCGTCGACCAGGAATAATTTCGGGACGTACTGAACGCCGGGAGGTACGGTGAGAAAGTAAACGATGTCTTTCAGTTGAACGGTTTCGCCGTCGTTGGCATAGATTTTCTCGATGCCGTCCTCGGTCGTCCCGTGCCCGGAAAAGGCAAAGAAGACGACTTTTTCTTCCGCCTCTTCTCGGCTCAGACTACAAGTCTTGAGCGATGCGGAAACCTCTTTTATCTTGGCTAGTATTTGGGCCTTGGTTGGATTGTCGAGCTGGTGGACGACGTAGTTTAGACTGTCGAAGGTTTGCATCATCGCTGCGGCGTCTTTAGCGGTACCGCGAAGTGGAGTCATGTCGGGATTGTCGCAGTTCTCGTACGTGCAGTTGATGAGAATGGCAAGGCCTGGGCTGTCGGCAAGTGTGGTGCCTGGGTATAAATAAAAGGGAGGTTTACTATAGTTGCAGAAAATGGAAGTCCATGTGTGTAGAGTATTGATTCAGAGTATATAGCGTACCTTTTGGTCCTTTAGGTCCACCTGTAGAATTGTAAGAGAACTAATCAAACTGTTGATAAATATTGTTGTATGTAGATAGGTTGTAAGAGAATTAACCAAACTGTAGCCAGACGCACACACACATTTGTGTATACCTATATACCACAGGTCTTCACAGGCAGTGATAAATACTTCCTTTATTGGGTGTGTATAGTGTGAGCTTACTAAGGATAGGGAATAAAACATGGTGTGTATGGTGTTTGTGAGGCTTCTGAACAGCTATTTTTGTTAGAGTAAATTTCTGTGTTTACCTCGACTCCCTCGAGAACTGGGTACCACTGGTGGAGGAGTGACCGCTGCACAGAGAAATAATATTATTATGGTGAATTGATGGGTATAATTAATGGTCCTTAGAAAATCGAATTAGGCTGATAATAGCTATATAATAAATATTTCTCCAATACTGAACCAATCTGGGTATGCATAACTCATGGTGTTGGATTGGTTCGACTTACGCGAGGTCTCAGCAATTTGCAGACTTTCTCTGCTTCATTCTCTTCCTCGCCTTTACCATGGCGGTGATCATACGCACACGTACGTCGCCTCGCTGCCAGTCTCCTCCACTTGTCTATGAGCAGCCCTCTCTTGTCTTGCTGGTACTGTCCATCGTGTCGTATGTCCTTCATATCCTGTTGGTACCACCTTCAAGGTAGGGACCGACGCATCCCCGATTTATGAATCTGCTGATGGCCGTCAGATGCTCCGTCTTCGCTTTTACGAGTTCGCGTCCGCAGGCCGTAGCGTGCTGGAGGGACCTTGATGTCAGCCAACTTCGACCTTTAGCTATTAAGAATAAGATAGTAATGAGAGAGTTCGCTAGCGACCCCGATAGAGGTAGGATGAGCCGAGAGGATAAGAGGATAGGAGACGTGGGAGAAGCGGAGGGGTGATAAGCTTTAGCATAGAGACTTTGGGCGGATAAGTGACTCATAGGCTCCAATAATAAGGGGACTTGAAGTAAGAACAACCGGTAGTGCCACGTCGTCCCAACCGTAGGGCGGATTAGATTTAGCTAGGCTGGCCTAAGGAGAGTAGGCAGCTAAGCGCTACGTCGTAGGGCTAGGAGCTACGGATTATACCTCTTGACTGCAGGACCAAACAACTGGCATGGGCAGGACGACAAGCGACAAAAACAACGTGGGGGGGGGCGGTATGCGCGGCGGCCGAGGAAGTCCGCCTTCCCCCGGCCTGGCCGCACGCCCCCTGCAGGTAGGTGTGTGCGCGCCGTGTAAGCGCGCAGGAGCACACTGGCGCAGCCCGCGCTGTGTGGGGGGCGCGCGTTGCGGTTACCGCGCTGCAAAACCGTGCAGCGCAGCGTGCAAACGAAAAAAACTGCAGTATTTCAGGTTGGTTCATATAGTCGGTCTCTAGCTAACTAAGCGGTTGTGCCATAGCTTTCTGAAACGTTTCAGCCAAAGATTGTAGGTTACACTTTATCAGAACGTCAACGATTGTTTCTCAAGGGACTTGGGGTGGCTGCTTTTCACCCACTCTCGAAGAAATGCGAGTACAATAGCTTCCCGATTCATGGTGACAGTATCTTTATTGTCTCGACTCGTCGATTGCCTTCCTTGTGTCATTGAGAAGAACGTACCGAAATTTCGTGTATTTCGCACAGACCCTTTTCTGGGATATCCAGATCCACGAGCTTAACAAGGTCTGGTTTTGAGAGTCTGTTTGTCCCACCCTCCAAATGGGCTTTCGGGTCGGGATCAGGTCGGGATCAAATATCGAAGATTCCGAGCAGAGAAGCCTTCCTTGTGAATTCCGCATAATGCCTGGAGGATGCAGGTGCAGGAAAGCTGGGGAACACTTTGATCTGATCTGGATCAAGCTGCATTGACTTCTTGAAGACTTTATCGATTGCACCAAACAGTTGTCTAGGATTTGAGTGCCAAATTTTGGCAGGATTGAAGGGCGTTTGTCTATGGGAGTGCGATGTGGATTTCAAATGTTGTGTGAAGTCCACGAGAACAGTCTCGAGACAAAGTCTGGGTCAAGTAGAGAGGCGATGTTGTGGGCAAGACCTTGGGGAGAGAACCGGCTTTGGACTACTCCCAGCAGTATTGGAAGGAAGACAGGAGATG